TAAAATGGTATCGTATAAGCGCGTACGAGGAGCACCGGTGAAAAATAATCACCTAGTATCATCTATGATTACCTACGATATCCTAAATAAACACAGTAAAAGGTAAACCCAAATGAAACTTAAAGCCCAATTCCGATTTCTGAGAGAAAAAATTTGTGCTCATAATTATTATATTTTAAAAAAATATTACCTATGTAATAAGTATGTAAAAATCATGCGGCACGAATCCGAGCAATAAATTTTTATCACATATTTTTTATGGTCTGCGAGCGAAAGTTAAAGTTATGTAGGTATGCATATAAAAATAAGTTTACGACTGTTTTTAATAATACATCCGATTAAATGATATCATAACAAACGAGATAATTATTAAAATCGCCGACATACTACAAAAATCGATAAAACTTTCCTATAAAACGCAATAAAATATCCTATCAAAAACAAGTTGCGATTAGAATAAGATAAGATAGTGAAAATTTATGATATTTCATTAAAGATCATGGTTACACAAGAAACAGAAAAAGAAAATTACCAAAATAGCCCTAACATTCACAATTTCTAAACACTCGATTGCGTAAAACAAATATACCTAACAATATTTTACCGAATGTACTAATAGTAACTACTTCTACTAATTCCTGCTAAATACCTGAAAGACTTTCTAATGAACAGCAATAATTATGAAATCTTTTACTGCCTACCGATCTACTCATACCTACCATAAGAAAGTGGATAATTAAACTTGTTTAAACTACAACAGTTATTCAAAAGCAGCAGACCTAATTACTGTCATCTAAACTTGTTTATACATTTCTTCAGAAGACCGAACTGGCGACCACTTTACAAATCATATAACTAAACGCTTCAATATATACAAATCGGAACAAAATTTCACATGAATCTCTAGCATTACATTTCATTAACCTATCTTTGGAATGATAAACATAATGTTGTTTGACGAACTAATCCCGAAATAGCAACAGAAAAAACGTTGAGAGTCCGTCCACAAGTACCAATTTTTATTAAGGGTAGATGCTTAATTTTATAATTGAGAGATGGTTTCAAATAGAACTGGGCAAAGCTCTCACCAAAAGAGCTTCAACCTCTGATCCTAAATCCCTTACCTAAAGAGCAGGAGATTCAAATCCCTAAGCACTTTGAAAAGAGTTTAAAGCCCTTTGAATTAATAGAAATTACAAAGCATTTTTATAAAGTAATTTTTTACCAAACCCCAACTACTTATTTATAAAACGGCTTGAATTACAATGCTTCTAAGCCCTGAATGGGCCGAGAGCACATTTACAAGCAGAAAGCACGAGAGCTCTGTCCAGCACTGGCTTCTTAACTCAATACCAAACAATTTCAAATTATTACCTTCGACTTCAATGACGGGCTTGGTCAAATCCACATTGCTTAAATTGCTAATCAAATTCTGGTTTCCAAACTTTCGCGATAAATTCACACCCGTATTACTGAGCGCACCGAACGCGATAAACTCGAACTCGTTCTGCACCGATTTGCAGTTCTTTCGCGCCTGTTCCATCAACTTGTTCCTCCTGGTCCTTAATAGACTCAGATTGATCGCACTGCTCGATTTCGACTTCTCCAATTTGGGCTTGACGTCCCCGTCACTCGCCGCCGATACATTAAATATGCTAGTGGTATTGTCAATTAGATCGGAAATGCCCATGTTGGAAGTGGCCGAACGAAGACCGAACGTCCTTGGCCTGATTCGTTC